TCAAACCCACACAAACAACCCATGGATCACTAAAGGTCTCCAAAATGCCATTTAAAAAAAAAAAAAAGAAAAGAAAAAGAGGACTCTTTACAGATAATTCTTAAAATATAGAACCAGAGAGGCAAAAAGTAAATATAAGATATATAAAAATAAGCTAGCTATTATTATAAAGACTTGTAAAAAGGATTATTACACCAAATTATTAGACTATAGCAAGAGTAACACTAAAGGCATATGGAAAATATTAAATACTATTACTAGAAAGGATTCAACTCATGGAGGTTATCCTGAGTACTTCATTGATGATAATATGACTTTAAATAATATAAATGATGTGGTTAATGGGTTTAATAACTTCTTTGATAATATAGGGCCACATTTGGCTGCAGGAACTAACAATATAGATCCAAATGGCGATGGTGAGGCTGAAAATTATGTCCCCAGAAACCTCAACTCAATGTCCCTGCAAGCGGTAGATGAAAAATAAATTTTAGACATTGTCAATAAGTGTAATAATAAAGCGTCAGCTGACTGGAATGGAATTGACACAGCATTGATCAAAAGTGTTAACTTATCATTCACAACTGGTTTGTTTCCTGAAAAAATGAAAATTGCCAAAGTCATCCCATTATTTAAATCAGGTGTGAATCACCATTTCACCAATTACAGGCCAATATCATTACACTGTCAATTCTACTAGATATTAGAAAAACTGTTCATAGTCAATATGGTTTTAGGGCAAATAGATCAACTGCAATGGTATTGATGGAGTTAACTGAGGAAATCACAAATTGTATAGATAAAAAGAAACATGTATTAGGAATCTTTATAGATTTGCAGAAAGCCTTTGACACTATTGATCATAATATATAATTTTTTAAAACTAGAAAAGTATGGTATCAGGTGAATTGTGTTGAACTGGTTAAAGGCTTATATATAGAGCAGGCAACAGTTTGTTCAAACTGGTGAACAAAAATCCAACTTTTTAAACATTACCTGTGGTGTCCCTCAGGGGTCCGTGTTGGGTCCTGTTTTGTTCACTCTCTCTGTATAAATGACATGTAAGGATTCAGAGAAGTTAAGGTTTGTCCTATTTGCTGATGTGACCAACATCCTTTGTTCAGGGGACAACAGCTCTTGGAGGTCGCCACATATGAAATAAGAAAATTAAAAAGCTGGTTCGATATGAATAAGCTGTCTTAAATTTGACAAAAACAAAACTTTTGGAAATTGGAAAAGCAGCATACAAATTCAAGTTAAGATAGACAATATTGACATAGAGAGAGTGAATCAAATCAAATCAAATTTCTGAGTGTGTTGTTGGATCACAAAGTCTGTTGGAAACCTCACATAAACTATGTAAAACCTAAACTGGCAAGGAGCATTGCAGTTACTGGAAAGTCATGGCACCTCTTAAATTATAAATCACTGGCCACACTTTACTTCTCATTGGTACTTCCATATATGACTGAGTGTGAAGAGATTTAGGGTGATACATATAAAAGTCATCTACAGCCTTTATACATTCTCAAAAAAAAATCAGGTTACTCAACAATGCAGGACATTTGGATCACATAAACTCTTTGTTTTTGTAATCACATGTAATGAAGCTTACCGATTTAATCTACCAAAAAACTGCAATAATAATGGCAAGGAACAAAACTTTACCAGGCAACTTGCAAAAACTATTCAGTGACAGAAAAGGTTGTGGTTTGAGAGGTGAACTCGACTTCAAAACACGGTATGCCCGGTTAACTTTGAAGAGTATGTGTATCTCAATCTGTGGAGTGAAAATATGGAACAAATTAGATATCCAATTTAAACAAATTAATAATTTCAATCAGATCAAAAGTGCAGACAAAAAACATATATTCAGTAGGTATAAGGAGGAAGATAGGTTGATGGTGAATGATTAATTAGTAGTGGTATCACATATATCCTAATGAAGGCTACTAAATATTGTTATATATGAAACATAACATTGTATATTAAATCCATCCATTACTTATTAATATGTATATGTATGTGTGTGCATGTAGGCCTATACATATATTTACATAGTGTAGTGTTGTAATATATTTATATTGGTAATATACATTTCTATAACAATCTATGAGTAAATGACACATTTAATGTAAGGAAATTGATTATGTATATGGTGCAATTATATACTGTATATTGGTGCAGTTAATTCATTATATATTGGTGCATATTTGATATTAAATCTATTTATTATATATAGGAACATGTAATATTGTATTGAATCATAGAGTGGTAAGGGGGTGGGAGTTAATAAGTTGATGCTTCTTCCTGCTCCTTTTCGAACTCATGTTTGTACATATTTTCCCATGTTTTTTATTTTGTTTTAGTTTTACTTTTGTTCATTAGAAATATTTCATTCATTCATTCATTCATTCATTCATTCATTCATTCATTCACAATGTTTCTACAGCAGAGTTTTCAACATATCATCAGATTTTCCTTTATTTCACAAAACCAGCGTAAACTTCAGGTTTTTGTTGCTGTAACAAGAAACTTCCAAGTTTTCTTCATTCTTTGGGTCATGGACGGTTTCAGTAGTACTGTCAGTTCACATGAAGACTGGAGGTCATTTGGCAAGTGGTAAACATTCTGACACTGAAAGTGAAATGATGTGAAATGTATTTTATATGTTTTCTGCCATAACATTGAACATCTGCTTGTAGTGACAGCAGCATTATTATCTTTTTATAGTAGTATTTCCACTGACAGCAGCTGCCTGAGCAAAAGATTGTGTTTTGGTTTAACACATAGAAAAAGTCAGCAGTTACTTCAGAAAGTATGTTTTGTACATGTGTCATCCATCCAACCAGCTGCTGGTCACCTGGTGAAGTTCATGAATGGAACTCTTCATTCAGTCAAAATTAGGTGAACATCTGGACATAATCCAGGAGACAGTTCCATTTGCCTCAACAGTGTGGTTTAGAAAACAACGTGGCACGTCATGAACATGTAGTGGTGTGAAACAAATATTGTACAGAGAGCAACGTTCTTATAACAAGAACCTGAGCATATATTTTTATCATGTTCACGTGTTGAAAACACATTTGTTATTGTGTCAAGTTATTTTTTAAATGTGGAAACTAAACTCTGTACCTGCCATAGACTGTGTAAAAGCAGATGTCATGGTTGATCGATGGACACATTTTGTAATAATGACAAAGGAGCTGTTTTCAATCGGATCAATCAATCCTGCACTCAGTTCTTATCACTGTTATGACTATGGCTCTTGTTCCATGCAAAGCAATTTGCTGTGT